AATAAACTGAGCTCCTTACTCTTTGAAAAACATGGCGGGAGCTTCTTTCAACAATAGAATTTGTTATGTGAAGGGCGTATACTCAATACACGAGGATTGTATAGAATGGATCTGGGCGTGATTTGCACTCAGATGCATCCGAAATCCTCGTGCGAGGACGCTTTTCTAAATCAATTCTCATTCGCATTCTCATTCCAACTCCGATTCTGGGATTCTATAGAATGGCTCTGGGCGTAATTTGCGCTCAGATGCATCCAAAGTCCTCGTGTGAGGATGCTTCTCTAAATCAATTCTCATTCCTGTTCTCATTAGCTCGTAGGGTGGATAGGCGCTGGTGGGCCGTAAGGCAACGGAGTGAGTGGCAAGCCTCCTGATGAGACCGGAGCGCACCCGGTTGAAACGTAGGGGAACGCGTGCGCGGTTACTTCGAGCATGTTGTACACGCTTGTTGCATTAACGGGAAATCTGTTGGTTCGCGTGTAAAGAGCAATCGGCCATTGCTTATCTTTCTTCTTCCTTCTTCTTAATCTGTTCTCATTCCAACTCCCATTCTGATGGCTCACAGCTTTGCCAGTCCTGTTTTTTTTTTTTTTTTTTTTTTTTTTGGGGGGGGGGGTGTGGGATGGGGGGGATGGTACGCAACCTTCGGCAAGGCCCCACCTCCGTCTTCACCGAACGTCACAAAGCAACCCTGATCATCAATGAATACAAGCTATCCTTCCAGTCCTATACAGTGATGATATTATATCAGTATACAAACCCCGATCATCAATGTACATAAGCCATCTTTCCGGCTCGATACACTGAGGATATCATAGGATGGTCAAGGTTCGCTGTGTTGAGGGGTCCGCACAATGCACCCTGATCATCAATGTATAGAAGCTACCTTTCCGGTACAAAACAGAACGATATCATATGACGATGAGGGTTCGCTGTGTTCGGGCCGAAGACGACGGTATAGCACAGCTGAAGAGAGATTCGCCGTCGATATTTCGTATCTCTATCCCAAAAAAAAAAAAAAAAAAAAAAAAAAAAAAAAACTATATCGGTGTCATCAATGAAAGTGAGACCTTGCCCCTAGAATTGTAGACAAAATGAATTAAAAAAAGTTCAAAAAAGTTAAAAGAAGTGGAAAAAAAAAAAAAACAACGAGAAATATATTTTCTTTCAAAATTGAAAACAAATCTCGTCGCTGTGCGCACACGTATGCACAGAAGCAGCCTTTTCTTTTTTCTCACTTTTTCACGTTTGTTTGTTTTTTTTTCCCCTTCATGAATCAAATCGACAGCTAAACCCTTTTCTTTTCTTTTTTTACATTTCTTTATTATGCTGGGAATCGGGCCCTAAAACCCTTGGCTTTGCACTTTTATTTTTTCCCCTCCTTTTTTTCACCTTTTCATTATTTTTATGAATCAATTCGAAAGCTTAATTAATAAAACTTTGTCGGCATTTCTACCATACAAACAAGGAGAAGATAGAGTGCAGTTTTTCTCTCTTTTTTTTTTTTTTTTT